GAAAACGAACAATTTTGAAAACGATTAGATATGAAATTTGAAAAGACGATTGCTTGGAATTTTATATAAGTATTTTTGTAGCATTTGTCAACATTTTACATATTCGTGTTTAAAATAAGATGATAATAGAGGCAATTTTTTTGGACCTAACTAACTAAAGTAGGTAAATGGCAAAATTAATATTTCCGTTTTTAGAAAACCGTCATGTTTCTACTGATATTGTAATACATCAAAAGCATTGCCCGGCTACACAACATATGAACATTTATTAGCTGTAATCCACGTATGATTAAGTAGTTACTAAAATTAGTCCATTTAAATACTAATCTCAAAGTCGAGTTGAATAGTATAAAGCAAATTACCACAAATAATTAATACTCAACGAAATTAATAAATAAATAGTTTATACAACAAATGAAGTAAATTAGTTTGCTATTCATTTACGTATATAAATGATAAAAGAATTCAAAAGTTTTTAATTATAAATCTTTTTTAAATTTGTGTGGTAATTCAAACAAAATTACATACAAACTTAAAAGAACATTGATTTTAAAATATCGTTTAATGCATCAAGTAATTTATAAAATCGTTCAATTAACAGTAAGAATAAAATAGATAGAATGAGTAAACGTGCTGTTGGAGTCGAATGTTGAAAAATGCTATGACATTTTGCATGATAAAGCGTTAGGTAGTATGGTTTTATTAGACCTACATGTTTTACATCATTTTTAACACTCAAAAAGATACTTGTTTTCAAAACCCCTCGAAGACCATTTTGGGCCGTACCCCAGTCGTCTTTATGTACATTTGTTTTCACTTTTACGCAATCTTCGCGAAAAGCTGTTAGCAATTTTGCATAAAATTTTTTAATTGCAGACAGACACTAACGAAAACCACAATTTAAGCACCTAAACAACTTATCAACACGCTTTAAATGTCAAAAAACATTGTTTTTAATTGTAATAATTGTATTTAAATTTATAAATACACATTTTTGACAATAAATTGTCCATTTTCATACTTTAAATTGTTGTTTAATGTACTAAATCACACCTCTCCCCCTTCTCTTCTACTATCAAAATTCAATCTTTCTGTCCGTCTGTTTGCCTGTCCGTCTCTCCGTCTGTCCATCTGTCTGTCTGTCTGTCTGATCGCCGTCAGCCGCCCGTCTGCCCGGCTGCGCGCCTGCCCGGCCGCCTGCAACTTTATATAAAAGTCCTGTTTTTTTTTTTGCTAGAGACGTAAAGATGAATGATACATCATAGAAATGTTTTCAAAATCAAAATGTAAGTGAACCACCGACAAATTTGGACAGGTTTAGCTAGTTTTAAATGAAATTGAAAATGTATATAAAAATGAATGTTTGTCTGTATGTCCTTTATAGAATCGTAAACTATACATTCGATCATGGCAAAGTTGTTGTGCATGAGGCAAAGAAGGTTTCTGAGTTGGTACGACTAATTTGCAAAACTTGGCTTTAATGCTTTTTCATATGAAATTAGTGATATACGTACATACCTATTTCAACATTTTACAAAATTCTACCTCTTTAGGAAGCTGAAAGGGGTTTGAAAAATTTGCATGTTTGTTTATGGCCCGATTTACTTAAAACTGGTTAAAAAATTCAATCTCTGTTGGTGGGGCGTGGTGACGAGGAGTTGCAATGTTTAAGTGTTACGTTGTTTGTGGTCAGATTTACTTGAAACTTGGTCTTAATGGTCTCTTATTTAATTTCTGAAAGACCTATCTCGACATTTTAAAAAATTCAACTTCCAAAGGGGGTAAAAAACTCTTGCAATTTTTTGGGACATACTTTATTTGTGGTTTACTTTACTTAATTTACTTGAAACTTGGTAGGTGTATATGCTATTTGATATTATTAATCAAATGAAAAGAGGTTGCAACGTTTCCATGGGGTATATTTTATTTGTAGGTACTCGGATTTACTCGAAGATTGCTCATTGTTGAAATTAAGCAAATATGTTTTGGTAATTTTAAAAAATCAACCCTTAAGGATGAAATGTTGTTGCTACGTTTGTATTTGAAGTTTAAAGTGGTGACATTACATAAAATTAAAATGTTGTAAGGGTGAATTGGGAGTTGAATGGTTTTATGGAAAAACAATTTTAATTTCTGTGAGCGAAGCCGCGGGGAAAATCTAGTTTTAAATAATGTAATAGAAAACTTGTAGAATAGTTTATAACAGTTAATACAGGAGAACTACTGTGCAATTTTCCAAAGGATGAAACAATTTTTAAAATTTAAAAATTATGATATTTTTGTATATTATTACAAAGTTAAGTAGTTAATACATATACGTAGGTACCTTTCGAGATTTCTGAGACGACATTTGGAGATGTAGACTTTTTGTAAATTAGGTAGTCCTGCTCTCGCGAACTCATTGTGCTTGACTGTGACGAGATTGTTTCCAGTAAGATCCAGAACTTGGGTACCGGCTTCAAGATGCTGGGGCACCGAAGAGATGTTTGCGTTAAGGCAGATGACCGACTCCTTGCCACTTTTCCACTTGCACTCGCATAGATGAGGACATTCAGAGAGGAGCATTTGCGTGAAAAATCCCAGACAGATAAAGACAACACGTAAATCGGCAGTTAAAAATCGTTTATTCATCTTGAAATTCATTAAATTCTTGGAATAGTGGTTTTTGTCAGTGCCCACCATCGCTATCCTCTTCATCTGCATCCATGGCGCGTACAGACCTGAGCCTTTTCTGAAATAGAGAAACTAGAATTAGTAGAGGATTAATGTCATGAATTCATTTAAATNAATAGACATACTAACATTACAAGTAATCAAATGTATAATTTATTTGAAAGCTTTTGTCATATTAACAACTATCTAAAAATTGTAACAACGTGCCCCCCGCTCCCCTACTGTTCGCAAATAGTTAAGGATGTGGGTTGTTCTAGTTTTAGAGAAATGGGAAAATTAGCTCAGTATAGGAGTGAGTGGAGTCACGTGTCCTACCAGTCTTAATACTGACGACTGTATGATGATAAAAGAATAAGAATTGGCTACAACTTTTAAACCTATTTCGTATTTATTTGACAACATGACTAAACTTGTATAAGTATTTTCTTTACCATATTTTAGCAGCGAATAAATTTTCATAGGTAAATTGTAAATTAAGACACTGAATTGTCGTAAATACTTGATACAAACTTATATTTAACCAAAATGCCGCGACTTCTGAGAAGTAATATACTTAGTTGAAATGAAATGACGTAATTAGGACTAACAATTTTACTGAACAAAGTCGACCCCGATTAACGACTCAAACGATGTCTTTACATTATTTTTAGTCGTTTTTATGAAATTTAACGAAGGAGATAAGGTAAGACAAAGTTAGGAATAATTAATTGTTTCTGCCTCTATTTTGGGAAAATTTAAATTTGTTTAAAAATAAATGAAAGCAACACAATTTTGACTGTTTAGTTTTCAATTCGTCTTAACAATTGTTTCACCCTACAAAGCTGTAGGATTCGTTATGTTTTTTTCCATTAACTTAAATAAATAGTGGGATACAAGTTAAAATGATTGAACCATTTACATTTTCAATTTCACTTAAAATATTTATAACACTACGTAATTTAATTCGTACATTTTTTATATTTTAAAGAATATACTAGATTCCCCTTTTTACAATCACTGTAAAGTCCTGGATTGTTATATTTTCCTGAATTCCGAAATTCCGTTAAGAATAAGAATAGTGTTGTTCTTGACGATTATTAAAAAGCACGACAGGGTGTCTGGATACAAGAGTCGAAAAAATTGACAGAATATCTTTTAATACACAAGTGGGTTGTATTTATATACCTGTTCAAATATTTAAAAATGTATCGTCGAATACCTAGCGAACTTTCAAGTACTACGAAGATTTAAGTGTACGCCACTGCTTATATCCGAAAGCCGGGGCAGACCCTTATGTTTCGAATATTGACCTGTCTTGTTTCTGAGAATGTCTATTCGGAGAATTCGATGTGGAAAATTTACCGGGCTCGTGTTATGTAACTGCTAAGTGAAAACAATATTACACCGTTAATTACAGTAGATATATCAGAATATTTATAACCGTGTTTAGAACAAAAGTACACTTCGTTTACTTTCTCTAGCGATGTGACCTTTAGTATGCCCTCCGCAAAATAAAAAAGAACAGCACTAGGCCAGAAAAGAAATGAGACAACTGTAAACCGGTGAGGAGCGCATAATCCGTACAGTACTGCACGGAAAAATTGTCCATTCCATCGACTAAAATTGCATAGCTCGACTGGACTATTATTGGACCAATTAGTACTGAAAATATTAATGAGATGTTTATTTATATTTGAAGACATGTTAAAGGTTCATTAGACGTTTAACGCTTGTTTTTGACTCCCACTACTATTCATGATGGAACAAAACTATTGGCAGGTACTGTAAGAAAAAGTATGATAAATGAACAAGAGTCGAGAGTATAATGAGCTCCTTTATCCCTACCTACAATTTTGCCACATTGGAAGGGACACATCTCCAGGGAAAGTAAACGGAATATTATGTATTTTCAATTTAATAAAAAAATAAACAGAATGGGTAACTACCGCATGTGTAGGCTAATGCCTGACGTTATGTAAATAAATATAAATTTATAAAAGTAATGACGAAAACGAACAATTTTGAAAACGATTAGATATGAAATTTGAAAAGACGATTGCTTGGAATTTTATATAAGTATTTTTGTAGCATTTGTCAACATTTTACATATTCGTGTTTAAAATAAGATGATAATAGAGGCAATTTTTTTGGACCTAACTAACTAAAGTAGGTAAATGGCAAAATTAATATTTCCGTTTTTAGAAAACCGTCATGTTTCTACTGATATTGTAATACATCAAAAGCATTGCCCGGCTACACAACATATGAACATTTATTAGCTGTAATCCACGTATGATTAAGTAGTTACTAAAATTAGTCCATTTAAATACTAATTTCAAAGTCGAGTTGAATAGTATAAAGCAAATTACCACAAATAATTAATACTCAACGAAATTAATAAATAAATAGTTTATACAACAAATGAAGTAAATTAGTTTGCTATTCATTTACGTATATAAATGATAAAAGAATTCAAAAGTTTTTAATTATAAATCTTTTTTAAATTTGTGTGGTAATTCAAACAAAATTACATACAAACTTAAAAGAACATTGATTTTAAAATATCGTTTAATGCATCAAGTAATTTATAAAATCGTTCAATTAACAGTAAGAATAAAATAGATAGAATGAGTAAACGTGCTGTTGGAGTCGAATGTTGAAAAATGCTATGACATTTTGCATGATAAAGCGTTAGGTAGTATGGTTTTATTAGACCTACATGTTTTACATCATTTTTAACACTCAAAAAGATACTTGTTTTCAAAACCCCTCGAAGACCATTTTGGGCCGTACCC